GGCGGGGGAGGGTGGGGTTGGGATTGAGCGGGGGCGCACGTGCTCGTGACGGTGAGTGTGTTTGTGTGTGCATGCGAGCTTACGTTATGTGTGATGTGTGTGTGTGTGTGCGTGCTGTGTACATGCGTGAGGGTGTACACGTGAGTGAGTGTTTGCGTGAGCGAGCATCCGAGGGCTTGTGTGAGTGCTTGCTTGCAGATCAAAGCTGCCACAGGCGTCGAAAACCGCCCTGGTTTGCTGTCCAGCCACCTGTCACCGGCGCGGGAACCGTCCCCCACGAGGACCCCACACGCAGCTTTCGCCGCCCGCCCAGCTGCTGCGACGCCCTGCCCTGCCCCGCCCCGCCCCTCCCGCAGTCGGCGCGGCGCCACGCGCACCCGCCGCCGCGCCGGCTAGGAAGCGCAGGTTGCCCACGTCCTGGCCCAGGTGCCGGCTGAGCGCGCGGCTGTACATGTCGAACGAAAAGAAATTGAGCGCCTTGAAGGGCGCAGTGCGTGCCACGTTGAGCGCATTGCCCTGCAGGGGCGTCGTGCGCGAGAAGGCGTGTGCTTTTGTTGCGGACGCCGCTCGGTTGTTGGTTGCACAAGCCCTTGGTCGAAGGCGCTTGCAAGAGACCAGTGCAAACACACACACACACACACACACACACACACACACTCAGGCACACACTCTCTCACACACACTTACTGCCCAGTAACCCCACATGTGCACGCATCCACGCACACACACGTGTGCACGAGTGCTCTCACCTTCCAGAAGCCCCTGATCCCCTCTCGGCTGTACACCCTGCGCGCCGTCTCCAGCGCCGACGACCCACCCGTCCTCAGCAGCTGGTCCATCTTCACCTGCGGCAAATAATCGGAACATGATAATCGCACCTATATTGCATCAAAAGCTCCTGCGTCACCCCTGCATTAGCCTCACGTTTGCTGACACAACCATGCAAATGCGGCTGCTGCCAGGCGGGCCCCCGCCAGCAGCTGCGCCTGCAAACCCACGAGGTGATCTCACCCGCTCCAGCGGCGCGACCGCGGTGCGCGACACGACAGCTGACATGGCGCCCGCCACGAGAAGCTTCCCGTGCTCGAGATGCTCGAGCACCACCGTGTGCAGCGCCTTGGGCGCGCGGGGCGAGAGCGCGTCCATCGCGAGCGCGCTAGATGCCAGGGCGGTGGCCGCGGGCGGGCTGCCCTGCTGCTGTGGCTGCTGCTTGTGCCGCTGCTTTTGCTTTGCTGGCCGCTGCCAGTGCTGCGACTGCTCCTGATCGTGCTGCGCTCTCTGGCGCTGCTTTGGACGCCGCAGTTGCTGCTGGGGGTGCTGCTGTTGCGGCTGCTGCTGCTGCTGCTGACTCCAACAATTTACTGGCTGCTGCTGTCGCCGCCCCTCTTCAGGAACTGTTCGCCGCCGCCACCACGGCCTGCCACGTTCGCTGCTTCCACAGCTGCTAGAGGTCAAAGCTCCACTCGGGGTGTCACTGCAGCCATTGCTGGGGCCCGCGGCGGCGCCGCCGCCGACGCGGTCCTTGCAGGGCCACCAGCCGTTCTGGGTGACTGTGATCGCCGCCAGCGGCGCCTGGCGCCGGACTGGTGGCTGCTTGTGCCATGGCAAGCTGGGCGCGAGGCTGGGGTCGGCCTCAACGAGGTGCCAGCAGCGCGGCACGGCTGCGCGCGGCGCTCCGTGATCCCCAGCCGGCGCGCCGGCATCCGAGCAGAGCAATCCGCAGCTGCCACGGGCCACTATCACCACGTTCTCGTGGGGAGGGGCAGGCATTCTGCCTTGATTTCCCCTTCTAGCTGCTCATCTTTGTGCGCGCTTGCAGTTGTCCGAATCGCCAGCCTGCTGGGATATCTATAACAAAGACATAGATCCTTTCAACTTTGTGTGTTCTGAAACCCGATGTCGCACCTTGCTGAGACACACTGAGATGAGCGCTGGGCTTGGATGATGGAAATGAGCAAAGCAGTGGCCTGAAAGGTAGGGGTGTCTAAAACCATTGCCAATTTGAAAGTCAATGGCAGACGGTGACCTTCGGCTCCACAAGGGATTTCCGGGAGTGCCACCACCTGAACTCCTGCACCTCGCGCCGGCATGCAGCTGTCAAATACAGTGTGGCGGGTTACCGCACCTTGTATCCAATTGTGGTGAGAGGTCGTTATCTTACATACACTGGTCCAGCGCGAGCAAGGCATGCTGATCAGTGTGGGGTCACTCAAGTTGAAGCGGCTACCGATAGAGCAGTTGACGCGGCGAGCGCCGGTGACTGTCCCCAGAGGGGGGATGCCGCCCCTTGCCCCGGCCACCGCATGGCACACAGGGAGCATGGCTTCAGGGGGCCCCAGGCCGCGCACTGCGAAAGCCACCCAGCCGCTCCGCACGCTTGGTGTGCGCGGGCGCAAGGGTGTTGCACCGTGGGGCAGGGGCGGTGATGATACACGGATTGGCGGAGCGCTCGACGCTTTGTGATGGCCGCCCCGGCATTTCAGCCGGGGCAACCAGGGTGTGGGATAAGGCAAGCGGCGCCGTGCACTCGGCAGGCTGCTGCGAGGGCTCGCCATGCTAAGGGGGCCTGTGATGACCAATACCAAACCAGCAGCGGACTATGGAAACAGAAAAGCCAAACACAAGATCGCCATTCACATCACAAACAGGAGCATCGCGCTCACACCAGAAATCACTCGTCTGTTTTCATCACTCTCATCCCTGCGAAGAGCGGGGCCTCTGGGCCACGCGGCCGATGTGGGAGAGCGCACCACCACACCGAAAGAAGGAAGGACAAGGTGCAGCGGCCCGCACAGGCCGCACCGCTGCTAGCGTCAGAGTCTGCTGGCTGGTGCCATTGCAAGGATGGCCTGCTCCGCCTCTGCCCAGCTGCGCACAACCTGGATGTTGGGGTGCTCCGACCTGCGCGCGTTCACAGAGCAGGCCGCATAATCGTTTGCGCAGCCAAGATGAAGTGCTTTGCGAGTCACAAGCACCTGCCCCGCCCTTGCACCCTGCACGCCCCAAACCAGCAAGGGGCAAGCTCAGCCGTTCATCCCAAGCCCATGATCAGCGCCACCCACCCCGGCGACAGCTTGCTCCACGGGTAGGAGCCCTGCCAGTCATACAGCAGCACGCTGATGCCGCTGCTGGCGCAGTCCAGGGCGTACCCGACGTTGTCATCTATGAGCACGTGGGCGCCTATGGAGGCGCAGATGTCGCTCTTCTTGCGACTGGGTCCCTCCAGGGCAAAGTGGTTGCCGAAGTACACCTGGACGCGTAATTGTGAGGGGAGCAGCGGC